TAAAACTTCTTATAGAGCACAAGCCAAGTGAAACAATTGAAATTCTGATGTGTCTTTGCACCGAAGAAGGTGAACTGGTCAAGAAGGGGGCATCAAACAGTTCCTTTTTAACCATGTTGCCATCTCCTGTTGATTTTCTCAATATTTTTGTGCATCATCCACGTTCACTTATGGAATTTCTTGAAAGATACACCAAGAAAGTGAAGGACTCGCCTGCTCAATTAGAAATCCATAACACACTTTTAGAGTTATACTTGTCTTATGATTTGAACTTCCCATATCTTTCACAAAATAGCATCAATGAAAATGGTGGTCTGAGAACGGATCAACTATCAAGTACAGCCACGATGTCTGGAGCAAAATCTAATGGAAGAATAATTTTGGATAGGAATGATGTAAATGAGGAGAAAGATCGCCAGGAGAGACGGCGGAAAGGTTTACTCTTGCTTAAAAGTGCATGGCCTACTGAACAAGAGCAGCCACTGTATGATGTTGATCTCGTGATAATTCTGTGTGAAATGAATGCTTTCAAAGACGGGCTTCTATATCTTTATGAGAAGTTGAAATTATATAAAGAAGTGATTGCCTGTTATATGCAGGCCCATGATCATGAGGGTTTAATTGCATGCTGCAAGAGACTAGGGGATTCGGGAAAGGGTGGTGATCCTTCTCTTTGGTCTGATCTGTTGAACTATTTTGGTGAACATGGAGAAGACTGCTCCAAAGAAGTGAAAGAAGTTTTGACATATATTGAAAGGCATGATATTTTGCCTCCTATTATTGTTCTTCAAACCTTGTCCAGAAATCCATGCCTTATGCTTTCTGTCATTAAAGATTATATAGCTCGAAAGCTGGAACAGGAGTCAAAGCTGATTGGGGGAAGACCAAAGATCTATTGAAACGTATCAGGTTTGGGTTCTACACTTAAAATACATTGTTATTATATCAATTGAATTATCTTCATTCAAGGTTCAAATCTTGTGTTGAGAAGAAGAGGCAAATGGGGGTTGTTTCTTTGATAAATGGCCTTAAAAATGTTTTATGGGCACACATTCATATGTATCAGCTGATTAATACCGTCTGAGGTTATAGACATCTATGTTGGTCATTCTTTTCATTTAATGGTAACGCTAGACAAGAATTTGTCTTGTATTTTACAAATTTGAGACCATAATAAATTATCAGAGAACTTGCAGCGAGGTAGAATTTGGTTCAAGATTTAAAAACCCCAGACAGATAAAAGAGGCTAGAGCTTATTTATAATGTGCATTGACTTATTTGACCTGATTCCCTGTTTTAGCTTATGCCAACAGTATTCTTTAGAATAGTTGACTATACTATATACTTGAAATGAGTTTTTTTCATTTGGAATCATATCTTGGGTAATTAGGTCAGTATCTGCGGGGGAGGGTTGGCATCCTTATTTATTTTAAAAATTTCTGCCACTTCAGTTCAAATAAGGCCACTACCTTGAATTTTTTATGGTTTTAAGCTACAAATATTCATGCATGGTGACATCAAATGGCTAGGCAAACTATTTTGTTCACATTCACTGAATTGATAGATGTCTAAGATGGATGATACTTGAGTGAATCTGCAATCATGTATTTGCTAAGAAAAAAATCATTTAGGAGTTTGTTTGGTACAAATTTTAAGCTAATTAAAATTAATTTTTTGACTGTTATTTCACTGTTCTAGCTGTCATTTTTGAATTCTTTTTTCACAGATATGACCCACTTTATTTCTAACGGTCAAAAAATCAATTATAAAATCCTTACCAAACAACCACTAAATCTTTACAAAGATATAGACTATCAATTAGACTACCTGAAGTTGAGCTTATGCTTGAAAATTAATAGATCAACAGAAAATTAATTGACATTCAACTTGAAAATTTATAGACATTCATCACTAATTGAAGTTTTCATCGTTCTACCCAGTTGTTTGGCCTTGTAGCTCATGATCTATTTGGCAAAGCTAATACATTAATCTTTTCATTTTCTTGGCCTTGTAAACAGCAATGATCAAATAACACAAAAGTACTCATTCAGCAGACGCTGTAATATCTCATTTCTCTCTTTGTTTCTGTTCATCTTTTTTTCCTTTTTTTTCCCCGGCTGGGCCTGGAATTTTGTATTTGATTACCATCAACAATGAGAAAAGAAAACATGCATTACTCTTCATTTTGCAGGAGGAAACTTCAACAATGAGAAATGAAATCCAGGATCTTAGAACAAATGCAAGAATCTTCCAGCTTAGTAAGTGTACAGCTTGCACTTTCACCCTTGACCTTGCTGCTGTCCACTTTATGTGCATGCATTCGTTCCATCAGCGATGTCTTGGTGATAATGATAAAGAATGCCCCGAGTGCGCTCCTGAGTACAGGGCTGTTCTAGAAATGAAGAAGAACTTGGAGCAGAATTCTAAAAACCGAGATCAATTCTTCCAGCAAGTAAGAACTTCGAAGAATGGATTTTCTGTGATTGCAGGGTATTTTGGCAAAGGGGTCATCAGCAAAACAAGCAATGGACCTGCAGAAGCTCTAAATTCAAGTAGCGATTTCTGAGAAATTTTCACCATGGATAACAAAAGGTAACAATGAGCTGTGATCTCCTTTAGTCAGTAAACCCCGAGCATACGGTAGAAAATAATTGGTTTGTGAGGGTGACCAATCTAAAAGAAAATCCAGGAAATACACATATTGTATCTTATGATTGGAGTTAGCTGGTCTTTTCCAATAAATATGTTACTTGGGTCTCCAGTCTCCTTGAAAGCAAACTTATGCACGTGGGTCAGTACAATTCAAGTTTTGGTTCAACTGATTTGTGGTTATATTCTGAGCCAGTTAGCGTTGCAACTTGGTCCCGAGCTTCGCGATCGTCGTTTTCCAGTGTCTTATCATGTACTAAAGTAAATTCTGGTTTTGGTAAACAAATGCTAACTTGTTTATTGTTGGATCATATCCAAGGTGTGGTTTGGTTCTGTCACGTTTATGAATTAATGATTTACTCTTACGAAATTAAAAAAAAATGAAAACTACTTGTTTATTGAACTGTCCATTTGAATATTGCATATGATCGTACATGCTCTAACAGCAACGAAAATATTGAAACTAGATAATTAATTCAAGTGGTGCAAAGAACAAGGGTGAGGTATACTCAACCTTGTTGACAGTCGTAGTATGATGGTTCGATTCCTGAAACATGGATTGAGATTCTTTGTGAGCACCAGTATGTTCTCTGGCCTGTTGGGACACATCCCGCGATTAACCTCTCTCACAATGCTCCAAAGATGGGACGGTGGGGGACCCTTAAGGTTGGGATTCAACCTTTTAATTCAAGGTAATTTTAGTTCTCCTAAAATATGCTCATAGTTAGTCTTCAGTTAGTCTCTTTCTCCAAGACTCCCAAGGTTTAGCAAAGGGAGATTTACACAACAGTACCAATTAGGGTAAAAAAATTGTACACATTTAAATGAACAGTACCAATTAGCTTGACGTTTGTTGATATCTTTTATATAATTGTGACGACTATTCTTTACATGATTTACCTGTAATACTTAAAAAAAGAAAAAAAATTATACAGACCATTAGAATATAAATTTGAATTTTATTTTATCTTTCAAAAAGAGTCAAAATATTTATGAAAGATCATAGCACATGCTAACAATAATTAATTCTTAAAAATTGTTTTATTGCAATTTTTAGGTTTATATGTATAATATATTGAATTTTAATCTTCAATTTTTATTTATTTATTTTTTGTGGTGTAAGTGACAATTTGGAGACATGATTTTTTTTTTTTTTTTTTTTTTTTTTTTTGAAGAATTTGTGTTTGAAAAGTAGGAAAGGACTTTGGATTTACATTTGAAATTATTTTACTGAGGGAACGTGCGGTTGAAAATGAGTTTTTAAAAACGAGTATTCAACCACGGTATAGTTTTTCGTTTTTAAGCTATTTATTGTAGTTTCACTCTTGGTCACATTTTTTTAAAACTAACTTCTTCTCAAATTCATTTTTAACAACATATTTTTTGAGATTCACAATTTTTGTCAATTTTTTAATCATATTTTTCTTCAACATTTATCAAAATTTACTAAAAATCAAACATGAACACAATGTGATGTAACATACATTAAGTGGATTAAGTGCTATTAATTCATATACTAGTCAAACGAAAAACAAGTATATAAAACATTTTTAATGAGTGAAAAATATCTTTTAAATTAGTCAAAAACATGAAGTTATGCACGTTTAGCCCCTGTTTGATGGTCATTATTAATGTTTTGATTAGTATTTTTGAAGAAAGTGTGGTTAAAAAATAGAAAAAAGTATTGAGTTTACGTACTAAATGTTTTATTAAGTATTAACGATAGTCGATCTACTTAAAAAATAAAATTAGATTCTAGTTAGCTCCTTTTAAAACTTTTCAATTTAATTTAATTTAATTTTTTTCTCTCCTACTTTCAACCACACAATCTTCAATAAAGTAATATTACACTCAAATTGAAAACTTTTCAATCACACAATCTTTTAAAAAATATTATTCCCCTCATTATAAATTCAAATAATGGGGGCGGGCTTAGTTTTACTAATCAGGTGACAACTAGTTAGTTTTACAAATCAGGTGTACCGTTACAAATTTTAGTGAAGGTATCCAAAAAAAAAAAAAAACAAAAATAAATAAATTTGATGACTCACTCACAGTTTGTTCGGGAGCGATTTTTTGTCCCAAAAAATTGATTTTTTGATGATTATTTCATTATTTCAATCATCATATTCGACTTTTTCTCTTAAAGGTGAATATCACTTTTTTCCTAACGATTAAAAAATTAATTCTCGAAATCACTTCCGAACGGGCTCAAATTTTGTACAATATTGGTGGAAACATGTCACGTAAAAGTGGGCCCATGTGTACTGGCTAATAATTCAGCACAAAGTAAAATGGTCCCATTTCCATTTGATTTTGACAAGAAGAAAATTCAAAAGCTATTGTCGCTTTGGTTCAGTTTAGTAGGCCAGTACCTCCATTCCCATTCTGGCATTCCATCCCCATCTTTCTCTGAAGCACAAATCAAATGTAGAAAATTACAGTTCTTTAGTAGTCGCACGGTGATTAAAGAAATTTGTTGATGCGGAGTTTTAGGAAATGATTATGATCTGAAAGGAAGTTGATTGTATAATTTAACTTCATTTGTTGAGAAAAGGGGTTTTCCCGTGATGACTAAAGATAAAGAGAAGCCACCGGAGCCTCTTGATTTCTTCATTTGGACTGCTGTGGTAATTATTTTTCGAGCTTAAATTTCTACTATTTTCTTGTTATAATTCAATTAATTGACTTTTACTTCATGAATCGGTGCTATTTGGTCTGTACTGAAAAATTGGGGGTAGAAAGAAATAATTAATCGTGAAAATACATGAGGTACTCTACTTTATCACAGAGAAGTTAAATTGTTTATTATTGACTTCTACTTCAATTGGATGTGGAAATTGTCTGGTATTGTATATTATCATGCTCCAAACTCTAACCGATTCCTTGCCCATCTCAAACCCCTTTGAAACTGATAACTGTAAAGACTAAAAAAAAAAAAAAATGATTTCGATTTTCTTTAGGTGTACATAATCGACTTTGATGCTAAAAATTACGGAGACTTCCATAGTTGTTCCCCTCGGTGTAGTACTGTCTGAAGTCTCTTCTAGGAAATATACCAGCATTTGATTTTTATTATTATTATTTTTTTCTAGTAAATAAGACAAAGGGATGAAAAAGCTGAACTGTTAACACACTTAACACATCACTCTTTTATGGGCCTTGTATTATTGAAAGAAACCTAATGAGAAGAAATAGGAAACTTCAGTTGAAAATGGAATTTGCTAAGTTACCAATCTTTTGATTTTTCTTGGTTCCCTAGGATGTTGGCTTGTGGCTGGAAGAGATCAATCTTGGTGGCTATTGCCAAATTTTCAAAGAAAATGGGATCAATGGGGAGTATTTAGAAGGCATATCCATGTTTACAACTGAGCAGATACTGCGGTTCATAAGGAAGTGCCACATGAAATGGGGGGATTTCATAACCTTGTGCAAGGAGCTTAGGCGAATAAAAGGTCTCTCTCTCTCTCGTATTGACGTTATGATTTTGTACGGTCACTTGTTTTAATGTCGTTTAACATGAATGATTCTACAGTTTAACCTGGACTCTTTTATTTAAATTCCTTCTTACAATCAAAGAAAATACGACGAGTAGACCTTTTGCTATCTTCTTCTAGTTCCACCACTTGCACAGCTGCCACCACCATTGGTAGATTGCCGACCCCAGCGCCACCAAAATAATTCCCACTTATTATATATATATATTCCTTAGGAACCCCAGCTTATATGTACTTCAAAGCACCTCCAAACAAGCACTTAATGAGATTTGATATTCGGCAGTTGGGGTTTCGAGGGAGTAGACAGTGGTGCTGGTGGACATAGATTAGCCTTTTCCAACTCTGGAAGACATAGCTCAAAAGATGGATATGCAATTATTGATTCTTAGTTTTATTTCACATTTTCCTTTCTTTGCCCCCCCGCCCCCCGCCCCCCGAAGAAAGACATTTTTGTTTTTCGGTTTTTTTGTCAATAATTGAACTGTGATGTGGGAATTTTACGGGGAAAATGAACCATTTTCGGAGTATATATTTGTACACACACACATTTTTAACTTTATTAACAAAAAAAGGAGGGTGACAAACCTGGATGTAGGGCTTGTTTATTTTCATCATAAAATCAGAAGCAGGAATCTGATACCTATTTATAATAATTCTTAAGCTCAAGGGTTTAGGAACTCACCGTAAATCTACCTCTTAATTTGAGAAAAGATATTACTGACTAGGGGTGGACATGATTTCATTTGATTCTGGACCATCTGGTTCCAATAGAATCGAACTGAACCAAATTTAATCATGAATCAATGGTTTTTGTGATAATGGGACCAAATATTTTTTTTCTTCTTCTTTTAAGATATGGAACCAAACCAAGTAGAACCATTCGGTTCTGGTTTAGTTCTAGTTTCATTTCTTAAATTTTCATATTTGCACCATATTAGTTAGTAATATATACCTAAATATAATAATAAAATAAACATTCAGCAAGTTCAAATTTCAGTCATCAAAAAAAAAAAAAAAAAAAAAAGTCCAAACTAACAAACAAAATATAGTCATAATTTAAATACACAAATCAATTTTCATTCTCATATAAAAAATTGTTTAATAATTGATATAAATTATTCACTAAATTAATTGCAGCAGTTTTGAAAGCATGCCCCTATAATTAAGAATGAATTATGCAAAAATTTTGCGGTCAACTTTTACACATAGTATTAACCGTTTAATATCCCATGAATGTTTATTGGATTTTCCTCTATTTCTGAAGAACACAAATAACTCATCAAACAATCAAGGTAAAAATTAGTTTAAGGACTTCTTAAGTAATAGACCAATATTATTTTTCGATCTTAAAAAGACTCCATTGACTTGATGAAATGCGGTTCCAGCATACTGTTCTTGACCAATTTCTATTTTCCTATTTATAATAATTCTTAAGCTCAAGGGTTTTGGAACTCACTGTAAATCTATAGCTTAATTTGAAGGAAGATATTACTGACATTGTGGACCTATTCCTTCCATCCATGCTGCCTAACACCTTAATCTTTTAGGAGTTAATGTCTCTTTTCCTCTTCTTTCCTGAGAAAATACTGTCTGCTTGTATAATCTCACATGTATTAAATTTAGAATACCCTCCAGGTTGAGTTGACTACCGACATTGTCCATGTCTATTATGAATTTATTATGATTATTAGTATTATAATCAGTAATAACAGCGTTGTAAACATATATGTCTGTTTTCATCATTTCCATTCATTTATTGGGTCTAACAGTAGAACAAAGTTCAGATTTCTTTATGTCAGCATCGATTTCATCTGCTACAATTGATTTATGGAAAATTGCACTGGAAGTCCCCAGCCTATGTAAATTGTAATGAGTTGATCCTGATCTAAGTTCTTTGGCAAGAGTCATTGTCATTCTTTCAAGTTTGTAATTTTTACCAAGTTCGTTCCCAGTGAACCCAAGCACTTTAAAAATGACGTGTATCTTTATGAGGGGTAAAATAGGCAAACATTTAATGTCAATTAAAACATAAAGAAAAAATAGAAGGAAAAGAAAAATAAGTAAAACTGTCACCGTCTCATTTCTGCCAACACTCTCCAGCCCAATGTGCCACGCCTCGCCTCGCCACTCTGTTCCCCCTTCCAAAACTGACTTCAAACTGGCGGGCAGGGCTTGAAGCCTTCAGCATTCGAAATGTACAATGTCTTATTCTCCTTAATTAGAGTTTCCTTTTAGGCCACTATATTGGTGCTTAAAACGAAGCATAAGCACAAACATGCCTTTAAAATTTTTACCATTTTTACAGGTTTGAAAATTTTTTAGGTTGCTCCTAATCCATTAAACATGGAAAGGAATGATGTGGGGGCAGTGGGGGTTGGGATCGGGAGGGGTTGGGGGAATAGGGTGATGGTGGTAGGGAGGGGATTGGGAAATGGTGTGAAATGGGTTGGCAAGGATAAAGATGATGGGTTTACTTTCTTTCCTTCTTTTGTTTTTCTTATTTATTTTTATTTAAATTGAGTGTTTGCTTTTTTTGCCTTTTAAAAAAGTTGCCTTTTCCACGGTCTAACTGGATGGAAAACAGTCTGATGCGTGTAGCACCGAACACTACTAAACCCCCAGGAGATTGCTGCCGGATCCCAAGAAACCAAAGAATCAAGGTTTAGGAATTGACTCTCGAAAGTGAACCAGGCAACGGATAATATATTAAATTATCGACCTCCTAATCACACGATTTTGAGATCTCCTCCAGATTTGTTTGAACGCCATAAGATGTTTTAAATCTTGATAAGTTCGATAATTTGTCCTATCTAGAACAAAAGAATTGAAGCAATGCTTCGCAAAGAGAAAATTCTCATTAATTCATAATTCAAAGTTCTTGAATACAATGAAATAAATCCTATTTATACTAAAAAATCTAAAAAATAATTAAAAAGGAATAAAATAAGAAAAACCTATTTTAAAAGGAAATGAATACTAGAACTTGGCAAAAACGTGGTTGACGAAATCTTAAGAATATAAACTTGCCAAAAATGGAAAGTCCTAACTAAACTAAAAGATTTGTGGAATAAGGAAATTTCTCTCCCAGGTCTATGCCATGCGATCGCATTGTATACATTCTTGCGGTCGCATGAGTCTCTTGAAATCCATTGGCTGATTCCCTGCCATGTTTTCTGCGGCCGCATGGTCCCTCACAACGGTGCAGTCGCATATCTTTGCAAAATAGCTCCAAGTTTGCTGCTTCGTCCCGGTTTGTTCCAAGCCGAACCTCTTCATGTTGTCTTCCTCATCCAGCTTGAAACTTGTTGTTTTGTTAGTCAACTTTCTGTCTCGAACTAGCTGTTCCAGCTTGCTTTGGCCTCCAATGTTCGAACAAGTATTTCAGCCTAGAGTTTATTGACTTTATTCCATTGCTTGCAACCAAGTTCCACCACCTTGTTTGCCTTCGTTTTCCCAGCTGCTTGACCAGGTCGCTGCAATTTAAATTGGCCTTCAACCCAATTAACAATCTTGGACTTCGGATTGTAAACTTCAACCTTTTGAATTCCATGGCTTGGTTATGAAATTGATTGATTAATTTGGCTCAAATTCCCCTCGATTGAAGCTTAATTCTTGGTCTTGGCCACCCTCCAATAATCATCAATTCTTCGGTTGTTTGCAACGCATCCCGAATCACATCACAGTCAATGGAAAATTGATTTGCTATAAACTTGAAAGGTTGTGAATGACTTTAACTACCTAGGCCTCGTGACTTACTATTCGCTCGGGAGAACCTAAGCCCATTTTACCCTTCACTACTTTTTGTCGCGTTCTCCAAGATTCAAACCCTTGAGTTCAATTTTGGTGAACGCGACAAAAAGTCGTGTAGGGTAAAATGGGTTTAGGTTCTCCTAGAACGGATAGTATGTAAGAGAATGAACGGGCACAAGCCTTGGATCGTTAAAAAAAATGCGCATTTTTTGTAACAACTCAACCTTTGTGTCTAAGACGTTAACTTATGTCCATTTGGTACGAGAATTGAATTTAAGTCGTCTTTAATGGAAGATCAGTGGTTAGAATTTTGGGGAAGTGATAAAAATTCGTGAAGGATAAAATGGATTTAGGATCTCCTAAGTGGACAATACGTAAATTAACGGCTTGGGCAGAGAGACTGCGTCGTTACAATGACTCTTGTCAACAACATAGATTGGAGAATACAACTTGCATAGTTTTGGGGACCTCTGCTGCAATCCAATGATTATGGGCAGCCTTTTTATATTTTCTTTCTGATATGAAATTGAAAATCTTTATTGTTTCTTAACTTGTTATAGTGGCTTGCTTGAAAGGGGAGCAGAAGGTTCGTCGGCCATGGTGGGCCCCATCTTGTCTTTCAATAGTATTCGTCAAATCTGAAAAACGTAACAGGCAGTCCCGGGTTGTTTCATTGAAGCTGGAACCTTGATACAGATACTAAAAGGGAAGTACCTTTCCCTTTGGGGTAAGGAAAAATCATGTTAAGGGCTTGTATGTATATACTCTTCTCTTATTACTTTTGGGGTAAAAAAAAAAAAAAAAAAAAAAAAAAAAAAAGGAACAAAAACTTGTTTACATTTGTCTGGGGTTTTGCCAACGATATTTGGTTCTTCTTTGGAGAACCATCCATTTTTGTCAGAACCCTTACGAGATGATGTAATTTGCTTCTTTCGCTTGGAATTTGTTTTGGGAGAAAAACCTGGAACGAACAAATGCGCAAGTGATTATGTGCATTTATGTTATTCATAATATCAGTAAAGCATGTACCTTAAATTGGCTATAAGTTTAAGGCTCAGTTTGGTAAGTAGGATTGGACGAGCAACTTAACAGTTCGTTAAAAAGTAATAAAGTAGATTTGAGTCCAAGTATCGTTTCACGGAGATTAATTTAGTTTGATTTCAAATATCGTGACCTTAACCGAAACAATAATAATTTGACATGTTTGTTTGTGATGAAATTATAATTAAAATATTCTACTTATGCAGTTATGAGTAAATTAACCAAGCTAAATGCAAATTGTGTTTAATGTAAGTAGATGTGTTTTAATGTATGACAAACATAATAGGATCCCGAACTTTCATGCAATAATCGTTTTTAACCTTAATTCTATATTTTGACAATATGATTGAATTTTGAAGAATTAATTTTCTTATTTTATTTAGCAATTTCTTTCAAGTGATGTTAAACCTACTTTTATACATGATCCACATATAATTCTACGATGGATGCAAATATACAAGAATCATGACTTTCTATGAACGCTTCAATATACATATGGAGTATAGTCGTATATTTTTATCTTCTATTAGACCCTAAGACAATTTACACTGTGTTGAACCTATTTTCCTTCCTTCAAATTCATAAAATAAGTTACCAAATTCATATAACTACCATACACAATAATTGTAGAGAAAAAATAATCATTTAAATTATTCAAAATCCAACAATATCTTTTCAATGTCAAAGATGTAAAATTAAATATTAAAAACTCATATTACAATGTTCATCGTTCTTCTAACACAAAGAAGATTAGCCTAACGGGTTGTAATGAAAAAAAAAACAAAAGACATAAATGTCGTTCATCACTCGAAAATTCTTGAATTCAACTGTGATGTTCTTGAATCTTGATGTATTATTTGCTTCCTTTTGCAATTAACTCTTCGCCCTAATTATGTTTTGAGAGGTGGTATTTTATAATCCCTTAAAAAGTCCCAAAAGGTCTAAAAATCGTGTAAGCAAGATAAGATTATTCCAATTTAAGTAAATTTCAATATTAAAACGAAACAAAAGCTTAGTAATATAGCTCGAATAAGTGCACAAAATTGCATTTATCAAACTCCCCAAACTAAAACATTTGTTTGTCTTCAAACAAAACAAAGCAAAACTTTAGAATAAACCGTATCACTATAAGCAAATCACAAATAACAATGTCAACATTGAACTGCTTACCATATGCCTCAAGTTCGAATTTAAACAACACTTTGAAAAGATCCAAGCAATGTCAAAAATAAATTTCTACTTGTCCGATGCTCAACTTAGTGTATGTGTGATTAGCAAATATTGAACTCACACCCATACTAGAATACAATGAATCAAGTGATGTTGATTTACTCATAATCTCAATCCCCTTATGGTCAGTTTTTATAACACATCTAGTGCAAAATCGCTCATTATGTTTTTCTCTCCAATCTCGAGGTATTTATAGAATATGGGGGTTCCTAAAAATCATTACGATGCATTTTTCCATACAAAATGGTCAAAATTAGATACTTGTAAACTTAGAATGGAGATGGTAAGTATTTTTCAAAAAACATACTGTCATTCTCTAGAGTTCAAGTTTCAAAGTCCTTACAGGGCACATTTCACCTTGATAATCTATATCTTTTTTTTTTTAAACATCCTATGCAAGACTTTTCCCCATTAAGTTTTCGAAATGACTCTTGTAGCAAGTTTTAGGCCAATGACTCCCCAATCAGATAACTATAGGGCATCAAATTTTTAGATAGTCTTGCAAATTTAATAACTCGAATCAAAAGGTTACAAAAAGAGTTAGAAGATGTATCACTTTTTCTTTTGATATGAGAATCTGATATTTCATTCTTTGACATCTTATGTGCAAAACTTTCGTTCATTAAGTTTTTTAAATGATCTTTGTAACGAGTTTTAGGCCAATGACTTTTAATTCAGATGACTATAAGGCTCCAGGTTTTAAAGACCTTAGCGGGTTCAATCACTAGAGTCATAAAGGTCACAAAAAGAATTAAAAGATATATAAGATTTGAATTTTAAAAATGGTCATTGTTCGTCCTAGACTCTTTCAACCAACGCCCACTCCAAACTATCAAATTTTTATAAAAACAAGCACTAATCTTTTTAAGACACCCAAACTCTTTTTAAGAGTTTTGTTTCTAATAAGTGTATTTTATATACTTATTTAAGACTTTAAAACGATGATATTTAATTGCTTTTCGAATTAATTATGGTCTAAATTGTAGCATTTGGTGTGGAATAGGTAAAATTCAATAATGGTACAAGAAATTGGGAGAAACAAGAGGAAAACCAGGAAAAAAAGCAAGATCCAAAGTTCGGGGATCAAAATGTAAATACTCTAAAGTTGTGTCGGGCCTCACGATGAAGATTTAAGAGTGCTTAGATTCAATTGGATAAAGAAAGACATCAAAGAGATTAAATATAATCAAAATATGATCACATATAAGTTCAAACCGAAAAAAAAGTTATGCACCGTTTTCAGCATCATATTGAGACCCGGTTTTGATATAGGAAATGATCGAATTTGAAAATGATATCTAAAGAAGAGCTGTGGTCCTTTGAGTTAGCTTTCCAATGCATCTTGAATCGCCTCAATCGGACATCGGGAGAGAAAATTATGATAAAAATACTAAAAGAAGCACAGCCAGAATTTTCACCCGAAATGTGGCGCTACGGCACTACCATCAGGTCCCCGAGGCGCCACCAAAACAGAGCCGCGCCCTGCGTCACCCCTACATGGCGTTGAGACGTCGCCTGGGTGCGTTTTGGCCCATTTTAAAATTCGTAAAGACCCTACTTTTTACACACATGCAAGGTACCTATAAATACAAAATTTTCAGACTTTTAAAGGGGGATTCACACATTGAGAGATAAGAAACATTATTTGAGAATCAAAAGTGGAATCCAAAGACAAAAAAATCAAGTAATTGAAGGTTTGACGCATTGTTTGGAAGAGGAAGGAGATCTTGGGACAAGAATTCCAATTTTTCTGCAACATCTTTACTAAAATTCCGGTGATGTATTATAAGACAATTTATTATTTTTCTTCTTTCGTTATGAATAGCTAAATCCATTGGTAGAGCGATAATGTAAACCAATTAGGATCTTTTATATTTTTTTATTAAGATTCTTGATTTTTATTGTCTCATGTGTTGATTTTACTATGGATTGAATATATTAAATTATCTTATCACTAATTTGATGATTTCGTGAATCCATTATGAATAGAGATATGAGTTTAGGATTTAGATCATATAGTAAAATCTGATAAATTGGTATAAAGAGTAGAGATACTTATATTAATTATTACGGTCATAATTAAATTCCTAGGACAAGGAACTCATTTAACTAAGTTAAATTTGCATAAAGATATGAAATTTAGTTAGATAAATAGGCTCAAATGAGAACTTGAGAGGGGTAAATTGAATACAATAGGAGAATTTGACCAAACACTACATTAAATTGAATCTTAACTTAAATCTTAATTTAAATTATCTAATCACTAATTTGATGATTTCGTGGATCCATTACGAATAGAGATATGAGTTTAGGATTTAGGTCAAATAGTAAAATTTGATAAATTGGTATAAAGAGTAGAGATACTTATATTAATTATTACAGTCGTAATTAAATTCTTAGGACAAAGAACTCATTTAACAAAGTTAAATTTGCATAGAGATATGTAATTTAATTAGTTAAATAGACTCAATGAAAACTTGAGAAGGATAAATTGAATACAATAGGAGAATTCAATTGAACACTATATTAGATTGAATCTTAATTTAAGATGTAAAGGTGATCAATAGGTGAAATTATTCTTCCCTAACATCCATCATTTTTTTATTTTTAAACCAATCGTGTGTGTATCCACTTATTTTCTAGTATTTAGATTGAAACTCAAGTCCTACAAGTTTTTATCTCATCAAATAGTGGTTGACAAAAAAATTGAATTAAGTACTAGAGTTAGTTTTCGTGGGATCGACAATCCGGACTCTTAGGTCCACTTATTACTCGTTGCGATCCGTACACTTGCAGAAATAAAATTGACAACAATTTCTTACTAAGAATTTAGGAATTCACACAAGTATCAGTCAACAACATCAAGAGTTAAATCCATATAATCAACTCATGCCCCATGATGAGTGCTCTACACTCATAATATTTATGCCACCTAATTTGTTATTTTGTTACTCTTGAGAGTGTTTTAGAGCTTTTTATTGTGTGTTTTGATGTTGCGATGTAGGTTGATGAAATTGAAAGAAATAAGCAAAAAAGTTGGCGAAATTGGAGAAAATTGCTAAATTGTAAGAGATCCAAAGTTCGGGGACTAAAGCGCAAATATTAAAAAGTTGTGTTGAACCTCGCAATGAAGATCCGAGCATGTTAGGAGTCAATTGGATGGAAAAAAGATGTCAAATGGATCAAATTTAGTCAAAATATGATCACAAATCAATTTTCAATCGAAAAGTTGTGCTCAGGAATTTTAGCCTCACATCGAGACTCATTTTTGACATAGCAAACGATCGAAGCGGAGAATAATATCTGAAGAAAATTTATACCCCTTTAAGTTAGCTTTCTAACGAGCTTTGAATCACCTCAATTGGACATCGGACGAGAAAGTTATACTAAAAATACTGAAAGACGCGTAGAAAGAATTTTTCACCCGAACCGGGCGCCGCAGCGCCCATGAAGCTGAATTTGACTCTGTGGGGAAACATATTTTGATATTTTTGGATTTCTTTCTCGGCCCATTCCAACCCAAAATCGTCCAACACTTGAGGAGACTATAAATACTACCTAAAAGACCTAATTAAGAGGGGGGGGAATGAGCAAGGAAAACTTGAAGCAACTGGCAAGAACACGTGACTGGAAAGAGGAGTTTAGCCGGATAATTGCAAAAATCTGGAGACAAACCCACGGCTGGTCAATACAATTAAAGAAGAGGAAGTTAATTGAAAGAATTTGGCAACAATGGAAGAAGAAATTGAGTGGCAAAAACGAGTTTTTCTATTCCTTTTCTTCTCTATGTTCTTTCTTATTAATTTATTCATGTCAATTTTCTCAATTATGAACTAAACAATTATTCTAGGGATGATGTAGCCTATTTGAGACATGTTTGGATTCCGTTATAATTATTTCAATTGATCTTTCCTTTTTATTTATTTATGTTGTTTGTGCGCAATGCTTTCAATTAACTGGCCACTAATTGATTGATTTGATGTTCTAAATTTTGGCGCTCGAGAGAGGCAAATTTAGGCGTGATCTAAGACAACATAACCTAGATTTCGTAGGTTTCAAGAGAAAGTGCGAATCTTTGAGACTTGTTTTAATTAAGAACCACGTGCTTGATAATTTTTATATTTTTAATTCAGAATAGAGATATTGAAATTAATATATAAAAATAGATTTTATTTGGCGCTCGAGAGAGGGAAATAGAATTACTTTAGCGTTCTTGCCTATGAATTTTGGAGAGATTGATAGAAATAGTTATACGGTTGAAAAATATTGTCGAATGTACAATGAAATCATTCCACAAGCGTTCATAATTTGATAAGAAATTTCATAATTTGCCCTTGTTTACTTGCATCGTTCATCCTATTTAATTTTAATTTAGCATAAAAACATTGACTCAAAATTTGATCATCTAAATAAAGGGAAAGCTAAAATAATTATAGTACTCAATTGATTCGAATATCAATCATTGTGGGTTCGACATCCTAACTTCTTTACTATATTACAAAACTTGACACCGTACACTTGCGGTTTAAAAATCATGTTGCATAAATTACGTGGCAAGTTTTTGGCGCCGTTGTCGGGGATTGATTTATTTGAATTCAATTGATATTATTACCAATTAGCTGTGATTTTACTTTAGATTTTTATTTCTATTGTAATTTTTATTTTTATTTTATTCTTTTCGTGTCTATCTTTAAGGGCTTCCTTATGGTAATTTTCAGCTGTTTATGCGAAGGGCGAGAAATCTAGATCTACTACCTGTTGATCCTGAACCAGAACGCACATTTTGCATTCTCAGAGGCATACAAAAAAAGGAACGGAAAGCAATGGCAGAACAGGATGCTAGAGCAGCCAATGAGGATAACCAACAAAGGGCTATTCAGGACTACATAAGGCCGGCTGTCAATGACAACTATTCTGGCATCGCACACCCAGCAATTGCTACAAACAATTTCGAACTGAAGCCAGGACTTATACACATGGTGCAACAGAATCAGTTTGGGGGAGCTCCAACAGAATACCTAAATGCTCATTTGGGGTCCTTTCTGGAGATCTATGATACAGTGAAAATGAATGGCGTTACCGAAGATGCAATCCGACTCCGCCTATTTTCCTTTTCCCTAAGAGACAAAGCCAAGGCATGGTTCCAATCATTGCCGTATGGATCCATCACAACTTGGGAGGGGTTAGCGCAGAAGTTTCTTACAAAATTCTTTCCACCTTCGAAGGCAGCGCAATTACGGAGTGAAATTGGACATTTTCGACAATTAGACTTTGAACCATTCTATGAGGCAAGGGAGAGATATAAAAATCTATTTACAAGATGTCCTCAGCATGGTTACCCGGATTGGTTGCAGATACAAACCTTCTACAACGGTTTGAATGGTCAGACACGGATAGTGGTAGATTCTGCAGCAGGGGGTGGACTATTATCCAAAACTCCAAATAAGGCCTATGCACTATTGGATGAGATAGCTACTAATAGCTATCAATGGCTGAGTGAGCGTCCAAGTGCAAAGAAAGTTGCTGGCCTTTATGAAGTAGATCCTATAATCGCCCTTGTAGCTCAAATGTCATCTCTCACTAATCAAATAGCTGCATTGACTTTAGATGGATCACAAAAGAAATCAGAATCTATTATGGCTACATCCACTGCATACCAAAAAGTTGAAAGGGAGAAAGAACAACTTCAGTATGTGAACGATCGAAATTTCAATCAAAAGGGAAACTACTCAGGAAACAACTACTATCAAGGGTTCAATAATCAAGCGTTTGAGCGAATACCATCACTGGAAGATATTTTAGGAACCTTCATTTTGGAGACCAGATCGAGGTTCAACAAAGATGAGGCAAGACTTGACAGCATTGAGACATATACGAGCAACTTGGGGGCTACAGTGAAGAATTTGGAGGTACAGATTGGTTAGATAGCAACTGCAATACAGTCTCAACAAAAAGGACAATTTTCCAGTGACACAGAGGTTAACCCACGGGAACACTGCAATGCTATCACCCTAAGAAGTGGTAAACTAGTTGAAGAACGCAACCTTAGAGAGATTGGGGTACCTATATCGGATCCCATTCTTGCAAGGGAAAAGATCCCATTCTTGCAAGGGAAAAGCAGATTGGAGGGCAGAAAACTGAGGCAGAGGCAACAAAGAAGATTTATAAGCCTTACTCAATTTCATTTCTGGACAACCCACCTATCTTGAAGCCCCCACTACCATTCCTGCAGAGGTATTTGAAGAAGGAGTTTGATGAAAAATTCGCAAAGTTTCTGGAGGTCTTTAAGAAAATCCACATCAACATTCCCTTTGTAGAAACTTTGGCCCAAATGCCTAACTATGCCAAGTTCTTAGAGGAAGTGATGTCAAAGAAGAGAAAGTTGGAGGAATTTGAGACTGTTAAACTGACAGAGGAGTGTAGTGCCATATGTTCACGAAATAATTCTTTCGATTTAAAACTATCGCAAGTGTACAGTTCGTAATAAGTAATAAAGTGGATTTTAAAAAGTCCGAATATTATCCCTCAGAGATTGAGTAGTTCAATTCTATATAATCTAGCCTTAACCGAATCTAATTGAGTGAAAATATGGTCTAAATGCAAAAGCCCTAATTTCAATTAAGAAACCCTAATTTCAACTAAAAAATCCTAATTTCTCAATTAGAAACCCTAATTTTGAAATTTCTCTAATTAAATGACTCAAACACTCAAGTAAATGAAATTATGCAATTTCAAAAGCTAATTTATGGAAATTAATCAAACTAAAGTCACTAGGATCACGAATCCCCAATTGAAGTTATAAAAACCCTAATTTCATAAAATTAATGATTCGATGAAAATTTGCCAATTCAATGTTCCTAATTCTATCTAATATACTCTCTCGATATATATTAGACCTATTCTTGCACACCACCAGCCTATATCTCTATGGATGATGGAAACATACAAGAATGCATGTAGTTTTGTGAACAATTTAAGAATTGTATAAAGTATAGGGGTATATCTCTATCCTCTATCGAACCTTATGCTAATTTACACCTTATCGAACCTATTCCACTTCTCTCGAATGTAAGAAATAAGTCATCAACACTCCCACAATCATTGGCCACTAATTGCGGAAGAAAACTAATGCATGTAAATCAATCAAATTATCCAAACGAGTCTTTATATTAAATTCATGAAATATAGAATTAAAATAACAAACAACGGTTCATCAATTACCTAGTAATTGAAAACCTAACCTAGAAGATTCATAATTACAGAAAAAAAACGAAATTAATAAATAGAAAGAATAACACTCGTATGAAAGTTCTTGAAATTTGAAATCTTGAACAAAACCTTGAAAACCTACTTGAATCCTTGTGAAATCGGCTTCAAGTTCATGTTCCTTGCCTCCAAAAGTTGTATTCTTCTTCTCCCTGGACATTCTGCCTTATTTTTGATGAATTTTGGCTTTTATATCATGTCCTCTCGGAGCCTCGAAAGAGTTTCAATTAAAAATGAAAGTTCAGATTTTTTTTCGAAATTAAGGCCATGCGGCCGCATGGTTAAATTTTTCAGCCCAAAAAGATCTCTGTTATATCATGTGCGACCGCTGCATGGTTATAGAAATTTTTCCGTCGGACAGCTTTCAGTATTTTGGTCATTACTTTCTCTCCCAATCTCCGATTGAAGTGATTCAAAGTGAATTGGGAAGAAAACTTAAAGAAGTACATTTTTGATAGAAATAGGCTTCCTCAAATTCTGATGTTTACTATGCCAAAAATGGATCTCAAGTAGAGACTCAAAATCACGAGCATAACTTTTTTGCCTGAAAGTTGATGCTTGATAATACTTCGACCATATTTCACCTCTTGACTCCTTTCCTCATCCGATTGACCTCTAACACTCTTGAATCTTCATTCCATTTCCCGTCTCATCTATGGATTATTTGCAACTTGGTCCCCGAACTATAGCTTTGTTTCGTTTTGGTCCCTTTTCGGCTCTTTTCTTCTAAATTCCATCTTTTCCGTGGAAACACCTACATTGCATAAATTTAAAAAGATTAAGCCACAATTCAACTACTTTGTTCATGTTTAAGTCATGTTTGTGAGTTAAATAAGTGTGTAAAAACACACTTATCACCATACTTCAGAAGAAGCTCCCTCACAAATTGAAAGATCCGGGCCGCTTCAACATCCCGTGCAATATTGGTGGTATCACATTTGATAGGGCACTATATGACCTTGGAGCTAGTATAAACTTGATGCCTTTATCAGTGTTCAAAAAACTGGGTCTGGAAAAGTGAATCCCACAACCCTTACCTTGCAACTGGCGGACAGATCGATCACATATCCCAAAGGCATTATTGAAGATGTGTTGGTGAAGGTTGATAAGTTCATCTTTCCGGTAGACTTTGTGGTATTGGACATGGAAGAGGATGAGAAAATACCATTGATTCTTGGCCGACATTTCCTGGCTACTGGAAAAGCATTGATTGATGTGCAAGAAGGAAAGTTGAAACTATGAGTTAATGAAGAGCAAGTAACTTTCAACATCCATCAAGAAAAGAAAGCCCAAGAAAAAGGAAAAGTTGACATTTGCAAAATGATCCAATCAGTTGAAGTAATTGCAGGAAATGGAGAAAAAAGGGAATTATTTTATGATCCGTTGGTGCAATACATGGAAATTAATTACTCAACAAGGGATGTATCTACTGATGGTAATGACTCAGAAATGAAGAAAGCAGTGGATTTCATCTTAGCTCAAGAAGCTGACCTACCTGACAAAAAAAAGAGCTATGTATATAGGCGTTTGAAACCTCCAAACATTACCAAACCAAAAGAGGTCTTGAAAGCCATACCAGGGTCAAAACAGCCTAAGTTTGTTCACCATCTTACAATGAAGGAGAATACAAAGCCGAAGATAAAGTTCAGAAACAAGAGAAATGTGCCACCTAAGGATCCACCGTAAGCGTTGCGGTTGAGTCAAGCTAGTGACTATAAAGAAACGCTTCTTGGGAGGCAACCCAAACGTTCTTGCCTTTTCACTTATTTTATTTTATTTTATTTGTTTTGAATTATAGGAGAGTTTATTTCATTTCAAATTTTTTTTTTTAAGGAATTCATCAGCCCTACCTCATCTCCCTTAGGTCTTTGAGCAGTCTAGTTGGTTATTAGATGTTCGAGTTAAGTAACACTTGTTTCATGAATTTAATATCTACATTTTGAATTTTCAGAAACTTGACATCGTGGAACAATCAAACCAATTGACGAAGAGTAACTAGATAAATGTCAAGTTTGGGGGAGAAACTAGAAGAAGTATCAATCAAGTCCAGTATCATAGCACCAGACCATCATTGGCAATTCAGACAATTCAGGAAAGTTTTCCTCCTTTTCTTTTAATTTAACATTGGGGACAATGTTTAGTTTAAGTTTGGGGGTGTATCATAAATTTTCTAATTATCTACATATTTTTTTTATTTTCTGTATTTTGTGTGATTTGTGTACAATTTTTTTTTTAATTTTCTTATTAGGGTGCACTGTTAAAAAAATAATTTTGTGTTTTGCATGCTTGTGTGAGTTAGATAGCCTTGCCGATATTGATTTGTGTAATTGAGAACATGCGTTGATTTATGGGTTATGGATAAGTTATGTGCTTGAGTTAGATTTTTGCTTATTTATGTAAAACGGAAATTATTTTTGCACATGAGTTGATTGTGGCGTTGTGCATGAGTATGTTGATTCATGTTTATAAGTTGGATTAGAGAACTTAGATGCTAAACCCAAACAACTTTTGAACATCATATTACCTTTAAACCAAATATAGGATGTTTGGTAGATTAAGCTGTTGTAGGGAAACTTGGGGATAAATGTGGATACCGTGTATGCTAAATGTTGTGTGGATTGTCTGAAACTAATAGGATGAAAATTGGGTGAAAACCTTATGTTAGAGGTCGATTTTCGAGAATTGGTGTTTAATAAGAGACATTGCACTAATCATTGCATAAAAAAAAGATCTCAATGAGGACAACTTTAATAATTTTATTGTGAATCGTCTCTTCGTAACCTTTATGATTCGAGTGATTAAGCCTGTAAGAATTTGAAACCTGGTGCCCTAAAGTTGTCTGATTTGGGAGTCATCGACCTAAAGCTCGCTACAGGGGTCATTTAGAAAGTTTAAGGGAGTGACGTCCATACAAAGGATGTTTAAAGAATAAATTTATATTTGAAAAAAAAATAAAGAAAAGAAATTTGATATTACATACCTTGATTAAGCCCCAAACACTTGTTTTAGAGGATTAGACCTTTGATGAGAGGTTAGTAACTTGGTTGATTCTGGGAGGTTGAAGTAGTAAAAAATAAGGAGAATCCTTATCTGTTGATATGTTGAACTGCAATAGTGAAATCTAACCAAACTTGAGCGGTCTAAGAAATTAGTATTGAAAAATCAATTTTAGAATATACCTTGGGAAGAGAAAAGAAAACAAGTTTGGGGTGTGTGAATCCCACGAGCGAGGCAAGAAAACATTTGACTTTTAAGGTCGGGAGTTGGGTCAATTTATTATTGTACAGCGTTGCGCTTAACTCTCCACACACACACCCGGTCACATTAAATAGGCGAGAATTTGACTTGTGCATTATAGCTTTAAAGTAATTCATGAATTTGACGCTATGTTTTTAATCTTGAGCTATAAAGGCAAGGTGTCTAACATAATGTGTCTTTTAAGTGATTTTATTTTTTTTAATTGTGCTTGTGTATTTGTTAATGATTTTCTTTAGTTTGGTGTTTGCTCGAGGACAAGCAAAATATTAACTTTCGGGATATTTGATGAGTGCTTTACACTCATAATATTTATGCCACATAATTTGTTATTTTGTTACTCTTGAGAGTGTTTTAGAGTTTTTTATTGTGTGTTTTGATGTTGTGATTTAGGTTGATGAAATTAAAAGAAATAAGCAAAAGTTGGCGAAATTGGAGAAAATTGCTAAATTGTAAGAGATACAAAGTTCAGGGACTAAAGCACAAATATTAAAAAGTTGGTTGAACCTCGCAATGAAGATCCAAGCATGCTAGGAGTCAATTGGATAAAAAAGATGTCAAAGGAACCAAATTTAGTCAAAATATGATCACAAATCAATTTTCAACCGAAAAGTTGTGCTCCGGAATTTCAGCCTCACATTGAGACTCATTTTTGACATAGCAAACGATCGAATCGGAGAATAATATTTAAAGAAACTTTGTACTCCTTTAAGTTAGCTTTCTAACGAGCTTTGAATCACCTCAATTGGACATTGGATGAGAAAGTTATGCTAAAAATACTGAAGGACGCGCAGAAAGAATTTTCCACTTGAACCGGGCGCCGTGGCGCCCAAGATAGGCGCCGCAGTGCCCATGAAGCTGAATTTGATAGTAAGGACAACACCGTGGCGCCGCCTATGCGGGGAAGCGTATTTTGATATTTTTGGATTTCTTTCTCGGCCTATTCTAACCAAAAATCGTCCAACACTTGAGGAGACTATAAATACTACCTAAAAGACTTAATTAAGAGGGGGGAAAACGAGCAAGGAAAACTGGAAGCAGCTGGCAAGAACACGTGACTGGAAAGAGGAGTTTAGCCGGACAATTGCAAAAATCTAGAGACAAACCCACGACTGGTCAATACAATTAAAGAAGAGGAAGTTAATTGAGAGAATTTGGCAACAATGGAAGAAGAAATTGAGCGGCAAAAACGAGTTTTTCTATTCCTTTTCTTCTCTATGTTCTTTCTTATTAATTTATTCATGTCAATTTTCTCAATTATGAACTAAACAATTATTCTAGGAATGATGTAACCTACTTGAGACATGTTTGGATTCCGTTATAATTATTTCAATTGATCTTTCCTTTTTATTTATTTATGTTGTTTGTGCGCAATGCTTTCAATTAACTGGCCACTAATTGATTGATTTGATGTTCTAAATTTTGGCGCTCGAGAGAGGCAAATTTAGGCGTGATCTAAGACAACGTAACCTAGATTTCGTAGGTTTCGAGAGAAAGTGTGAATATTTGAGGCTTGTTTTAATTAAGAACCACGTGCTTGATAATTTTTATATTTTTAATTCGGAATAAAGATAGTGGAATTAATATATAAAAATAGATTTTATTTGGCGCTCAAGAGAGGGAAATAGAATCACTTTAGCGTTCTTGCCTATAAATTTTGGAGAGATTGGTAGAAATAATTATATAGTTGAAAAATATTGTCGAATGTATGGTGAAATCATTCCCTATGCATTCATAATTTGATAAGAAACTTCATAATTTGCCCTCGTTTATTTGCATCGTTCATCCTATTTAATTTTAATTTAGCATAAAAACGTTGACTCAAAATTTGATCGTCTAAATAAAGGGAAAACTAAAATAATTATAGTACTCAATTGATTCGAATATCAATCATTGTGGGTTCGACATCCTAACTTCTTTACTATATTACAAAACTTGACACCGTACACTTGCGGTTTAAAAATCACGTTGCATAAATCGCGTGGCACCCCAACATAATTGATAAGTTCATATGACTATGTGCTCAAATAATTAAGTCTAATATAGATAAGCACTCAAGTAAAATCACATGTTATGGTGTTTTTAAGTAATCTAGCTAAAGTCATACTCAATTCAAACAAATATCATCATACGTGGCAAGTCATTCAACGCTAAACTAGAAACTATTTTTGAATTTATTTTTTTATTTTTACAATTATACGAACCCGATCAACAGTTAAAAAATAAATATATATTCGAAGTATTCTAATACTTATCTACTTCCAAACAAAAATATTATATTGTCCCCACTGTGAAAATAAAAATAATCAAAGTAAAGGAATAAGGATCAGAAATTCTCTGGGGATAAATGCGAATTAGTCAAAAGTTCAGGTTGGTTCGACTGGTAGGCATCATGATAACCGCCACTTTTCCTTGCTGATAGATATTAAATTTCTATTCCAAAAATTTAAAATAAATATTAGTGCTAACATATAAGGTTTAAATATTTGCAATGAGTTCACATTAAAAAAAAAATTTCTAATATTCAAACTTTTAGAAAAACTATTTAACAGAGCGTACATTCTTGCAAAAATTCTATAACTAGAAAAAGATAAGTTCTTCAAATTCGCTTGGAGATTGAAATCTACGTGCAATCTTAAAAATGCATATCACATCATTCTAAACTCAATATAATGCTAAGATGTTAACGATGAACCTAAATAAATTGAACTCAACAAGTAAACGTGTCTACGTTACTAATGTAAGTCCTAAAATACTATCTAAAATGTATTAAAATCATCTTAATGCATGAGTTCCTAAATATGATTCTAAAATACTAATGCAATCCTTAAAAGATACGTGTAATGTAATAGTGATTATGTCCAAACAATAATACGGTAGTTATAGCACGGCTTTGGAATGTCAATTCCATAGAGAGATAGTTAAAAACACTTAAATGATTCAAAAGATATATGTTCTTTTGAATGTGTGAAAAAATTATTGGTTTG